CCCCAAAACCCCAAAACCCCAAAACCCCAAAACCCCAAAACCCCAAAACCCCATATAAGGATAATAGGATAGAGAAGAGTAATAATTATTTTTAACAGCGCTAATGTTCCACCCAACCAAGTAAGTACTCACTTTAAAAATGAGGACGCTTCAGTAGGAAACTTCTTAAGTTGCCTTACTGTGGTCACTGGGAGATTTGAGGCTAAAAGTTGGGATTTTAATTGTGTTGATTCTGAGGATCTGTATGTGGGATAGTATCGATTCTTCTATGGTTTTGAGTCTAACTGGCTTTATAGAATGTACCTTGAATGTTATGAGCCGACTCAGTTTGCTCAGCCAGAGTCTTCAAGAAATAGCTTTGAAGTGAATAAACCATCTTTTACTGATTATTCTCAGCGAGATTTTGGAATGCCTTTACCAATCTCAGAGAACTATTACCCAATAGTAGGAGATAGCGAAGCTTACTTGACTCCTCCTCCAGTCAACTTGCTTTGCCATCAATTGTATGTTGACAATGAAAGTGACTTTGCTAATCAACATATGATGGTTCCACAACACCAAGCTCTTGTTTATGAACTCCAGTGTCTTGAGAGTAATTATCAGATGGACTTGAGTGGCTACTGCCTGTGTGATTTAAACACTAATCAGCCCAAACAACAAATGCTCTGATGTTCGTCTCAGAATTCAACCTCTAAAGCCTCGTCTACAGCCAAGAAGCCTAGATGAATCCCTAAAAATGAAAGTGATAGTGTGACTCTGAAAGGATACAGATTCAAGTTCAAGTTTGAAAACACTTGCGGTAGAAAGAAGAAGATCATCCAGTGTCAATACGATGGCTGCTCAAAGGAGTTCACCAAGACCTGGAGCTTCCTATATCACGCTAGGATGCATGAGGGAGAGACTCCCTTTGAATGAGACGTTTGTCACCGGAAATTCAGCCAGAAGAGCAACCTCACTAAGCACAAGAAGCATCACGTGCTGAAGACTATAACCCAGAGGAAACAGTTCAAGTGAAGCCTGTGTCCTAAAGCATACACTGAGAGATATAATTTGAGAGTAAGTGTCTACTTCCACTGTTCGTTGGCAGCTTTCTGCTAGTAAATTAGTTATTATCCCTTTAAACTGAGACTTCTGAATTTTACATTTATTGTTCATTTACAAAGATCACTATTCCCTCTTCACCCCTCTCTGATTAGGTTTAGATATTCTTCATAATCATCCTTATTTTTATTGTGAATGATCTATTAATTTTGTTATTATTTCATCAATCATTTAAAGCAGGTGTCTTGCCAACCTAATATTTTTAAATCTTACTTGCAGTATTGGGCACCCATTACTGCTGAGGACTCTTTCAGAGATAGATTCATGCTTTAATTATATACTAAGCCAGAGAATATTGATTTAAACATATGCAAACAGGTTTAATGGCGGAAATTTCTACCTTTAACACTAATAATGCACATAAAATTACTCCTCTAGAGTCTGAATTTAGTAGAATATCAATAATCTGCCTTCATGCTAGTTAATCTGAGAATATTTTTAAAGGCCTATGGATGCAAGTAGAATTGAAATTCCTCGCTGAAGCCTGGCATCCGATCAATATCTCAACCTTAATATACTATGAACACAAAATGCTCTTTTAGACACTTCAAATTATTTCAGTTCTATTTGTAAAGCTTGAGTAGAGGCTCTAGTGCGGAATGAGTAAAACTTTTAGTCCGAACCGATTCCGAATATTAACATATCTTTGAATTCTCTGAAAACATTTTATTAAATGTTGTTGAACTGTCTCTAATAGATCTATAGAAGCATCTTAAAGCTGGCCACGGAATCAATGCAGACAGGAACCTTACCGTGTTCACCAGAGAATAAGACAGATCGGAAGAGGCATAAATGGAGAGTTCACATTCTTCATAGTAATGAGGAGAAAAGTGACTCTAGTTACTTTCCTCCTCTAGTCCTAAATAAATTTAATCATCTCTAAAAAGTTTGACAAAATTATTGTTTCGCTTCCGATTTATTATGCAGTTTCGTATTTTCTCCCAGAACCGAGCCGACTCATTCGATCGAGTATAGAATTTAGGTTTACTTCACCGTTGAAGCATATCTTGGTGATTCTGTGTTTATTTTCCTAGTTCAAATTTTGATTCATTATGTACGCTAAATATTCAGTATGCCATCTTCTAAACTTTTTCATCACTAGTGTAACTTACTATTCATGCCTCAGAGCTGGTTCGAAACTTTAATTGCTATATTTCAGAGAGGAAGGTTTTTAGAAGGATATATAGATAAGAACGTTTATTTATCTCTGAGAAAATATAGCAAGCAAAGTTCCCTTAATCTCTGATAGCCGTCCTAACTTGGTTCGACTAAATCCGCAAATTTAATGAAGTACTTAAAACAACTTCATTAATATCTAAGGAAAAATGCCTAATAGAGCTTAGGTAGATATTTTGACTTTTGCATTCACCTTCAAAGTTATTCGCATCAGCTCATCTTCTATTCCAGTGGGACAGATGAAGCTCTGCAGCCAAACAGTTAAACTGAAGAAAAATCATGAGCATATTGGATGATCTTGGTTTAACTTTTCTGGGAAATATAATCGAATCTGAATATAAGTTAGTAGTTTTCACTATAGAAGCCCTTGACCTATTGGCTAACTCTCTAAGAGAGAAGCTATTACGCTGATAAGCACTTTAAAGCTCCTTGTTAATAACTTGATTAAGAGGAGAGCTTGTTTGCAAGACTAGTTTATGTCTGGAGCAACATTTTGCTCATCTTTTCTTCTTATTGAACAAAGAATATTGAATCGACTAATGATAAATTTCCTTCCCAGAATTTCATCAAGATGCTTAACAAACTGCTGATCATTGAGTAAGACTCCGCTTCTAATGAGAGAGACTTGAGCTCTTCTATAGATGCCTACAGTTTGGAAAGAAGTAGAGCACAATTTAGACTCTATTCATCATCATAATCGTCAAAGGAAGTAAACTTTTTCAATTTTTAACCAAGAGTCTCATCCCTGTTGTTATCAGCTGAATTATAATACTCAGAGTGAACGAATCAGCCCGGTCTTAATTATCTAAAGCTTTTAGCAGAGGAAGAAGCATTTTATTTCTTAAAAGCGTTCTAGCTAGGATTGAGATGACTATGATAATCTTCTGAAAGAGTCTGATAGTCAATGTTTATCCGATTTAGTTTTAAACTATGAGCCATTCTCTAACTTTCAGTAATTCATAGTAAGTTTAACAAAGCCTCAAAGCATGAAGGAAATGTAGATGGCTTACTTTTATATACAGCAGTCAAGAGACTTAATCACATTCGCTCAGCTGAATACTGATATTTGGAATAATTTACTGACACTTTCACAACAAGAGTAATAAATTTTTAGATATTTTGAAGTATGAAAATTTTTAAAGTGCTCTTCTCTAAATTTATAAACTCTTACAAATTTAAGAGATATTCATCAGAGCTTTGTCTTAAGGGAATATTCAAAAATTTAGCCTTGTCATTTACTAGAGTATTCAATTGTTCAGTACAAAAGTCTTCGTTTTAAATTTTATCTGAGAAGTCCTACCAAAAGTAGTAATAAGAGTGCCTACCTTCAGCATTAAATTTAGTAAATTTCGTCTATCTAGGTAAGATGTTGCACACTTCGATTTGAGCATCAATGAGTCGTCTACTTCCTTCTAGTGATCAGCCCTGTTGATAACACAAGGAAGATGGAAATTATGGGAATCATCCATTTATGACTATTTAAGCTACGACCGTATTTATTGGGATGGGCTAAAACCGTGCTATCCGTTCTGCAAGATTAACGACATATCTTACTTCAGAAGAGCAAACTAGTTTGCAACTTTGGCTGGAATCTTTATGCTTATTAAAAATATTAAGCGAGCATTGATTAGAAGAGTTAGGTTAAAAATTTTGTCAAGCCCCAATTCCACATCTTGCTGTTGCTATATTATTAGCAAGATGGAGCCTTCAGAACCTTCTATGAGAGCTATAAGTCTCTCAATTCTCTCCAAGGTTTGTGGTAAATGAGCACCCAAAACTGAAAAACAATATCACTTGAGATTATTAATCCTCAGTAAAACTTGAATAATTTGGGAGTAACTTGAAATTTCTCCCACTCTCCAAAGAGAGCGAATGAAAATGAGCTTGAGTCAAGGAGAAGCCCTTAATTTTTCATAATTTATAGTGGGACTTAAAAATTTCAGGCTTCTTCATAAGCCGAGAAATTTAGCAAAATTTAAAATCTTCCTTGGAAAGATGGCTTTATTAATTCTGATGAATATCAGTTAGCGGTGAAGGTACCAAAACCCTATATAGCTTTTGCCAGCTTATCATTCGTCCTAGGTGAAGAGAAAATTTAATTTTAGTCTAAAGCCTTGAATTCCAGTCAACCTGAAGTAAAACTTCTTGATGAATTTTGAGCAAGGAAATTGGATACAATTTATCAAATAATTCAGAAAGATTACTAAATGAGTCGACTGAAGCTAAATAGAGAAATAAGATATCTTGGCAAGGCTAGAGAGTGAGTCTGTTCCTTGAGGTTATCTCGTTTGTTCCAGTAGGAAAAACTGGAATAAATTATTGTGAGTAAAATCTTCTTGATTATTTGCAATAAAATAAAAGAGAACTATGTCTTTAGCAAGTAATGAACTGCGCCTCATTCCTAATCAAGCCTAACGATATTCTCTTAAAAGAATCGAATACTAATTGGAAGAGTAAACTAGCTTCCTATTTGGCATCAGTACCGATTCATGGTTATTAATTCTCTTGACAATACTAACAAACAACTAAAACTCGGCTATCATATCTAAGTGCAAGCATTTGAGCTATAATAACGACTCTGGACAGGATATTTTAATGCCTAATCGAACTTTGAAATCAGTTCTAAAATTATGCTGTTTCCTAAAAAAGAGAAGAATGAGTACGCTCCTTAAAAATTTATGAATAATTAGGATATACTAAAGCTTTCATAAAGAACCAGCATCCTCAGGGTCTAGAAGAGAGATTATATCAAGTACTCGACTATAGTAAAAAAATAAAGTGCAAGGTTAAATATTTATCAATTTTTTTAGACAATTCTCCTACTTCTTTCATTAGAAGAGGCTAGAACTTGGCTATACAGCCTGTATATAAGCTCAATCTTCTTATGAGGGTGGCCGGATACCTGCTAGGGCCTTGAGAGATTATTTGATGGTAGTAAGTGCCTGCCTTAGTAAGTATCCTAATCTATTAATTTATCTAACAAGGCAAGACTATATTATCCGAAGACAAAAAGAGTCTAAATCCTATTAATACACAGCCATGACAGGCTATCCTTTTGCCAGCATTAACTAAAATTCTATTGCATTCAGTACATTGTTGGATAAGAAAACATAATTATACTAAGTGCTTAGATACACGTTGTCTTGAATGATAAACTCCATATTTTCAGATGGTTCAACCTTATTATTCTCTACGGGGTTTTGGGGTTTTGGGGTTTTGGGGTTTTGGGGTTTTGGGG